TACCTCATGGGGTGTCTGTTGTGGGGAGGGGAAGGGAAAGGAGACTAAGCCACTCTGAGACTCCTTCGGGTAGTGATGGGCTGGGTAGAAAGCCAATCTCCTCCAGAGCCTTCCCCTGCCTCAAAGCTGTCCTGTGCTTTTCCTTCTTGGCGGCTTTGCGTCTGGCGCCCCAGGGCACCGTGTGGCAGGACTGAGACCGAGAGTTCTCTAGGGATGCCCGGATCAGTGTGCCACGGCTTCTTGGTCGGGCTGCAGGTCCTCTTCTAGGGGCAGATGGCAGGCCCTGCCCAAGGCTGAGCCTGGCACACATGGCCTGCCCGAGAGCAACCTCTGGCTGGTTGGGTGGGTGGCAGCAGCAGCAGCAGCCTCCATTAGAAAAAGAGTTTGGATTTATACCCCGCCCTTCACTCGGAGTCTCAGAGTGGCTTACAAACTCCTCTCCCTTCCCCTCCCCACAACAGACACCCTGTAAGGTGGGTGGGGCTGAGAGAACTCTGACAGAAACTGCTCTTTTTCAAGGACAGCTGTGCCAGAGCTTGTGACTGACCCAAGGCCACATCAGCAGGTGCAAGTGGAGGAGTGGGGGAATCAAACCCGGTTCTCCCAGATTAGAGTCCACACACTGAACCACTACGCCAAACTGGTTCTCTCTCTGTGTTAGGGGGCTCTGAGGCAGTATGCTCTACGCAAGCGCTTGTGGGAAACATGTTCCACGAAGAGCAGCCTCAGGAGGCTGCCGTCGTAACTGGGCGGGGGGTCCGGGGGGGGGGGGGTTCGCATTTCCCCTGCTATCCATTTCTCCCTGCTCAAAATGGCTCCATCCAGCTCCTCTCTCTCTCTCCGTGAATCCAGTGGCATCTTTACAGCAAATGACGCAGCGCCTGGAATTCTGCAGGTAGAAGTGGTCTTGGGGGGGGGGGGAGGGGTTTGGGGGGGGGGGGGTAACGGGCCAGGCATGTGCCCTCAGAGGCTTTGGCCCGCTGCCCTTCTTCGGCCCAGAACCACACTGGCCTGAGGCTCCTTTTCTGCTAAAATGATGTCCGTGCCCACGTCAGCTTGTAAGAGACAGCTGACCCTTCACAGGCTTTGTGACAACTGAAGCCCTTGACTGTTCAGGCTGCTTGGGAGGAGGGGGGGGGGAGTTGTTCCCTTCTGCTCTTGCTGGGATAGGGGGAGAAAGGGCTGAGTCTGCTGAGAGGGGCTGCCTGGTGATCGGCTTCCCCCCCCCCCCCGGCCCTGGCCTGGTGGAACACGCTCCCATCTGAGATCAGGGCCCTGCGGGACTTCAGTTCCTCAAGGCCTGTAAAACGGAGCTGTTCCACCAGGCGGAGGACACTGAACTATCTCGGCCTCCTCTGCTCATAACCATCTGCTTCGGGTAAGTTCTGCAAGAGATGAAGAAGGGGTGTGAGTTTCTTGGTGGTGAGAAGCGGAAACCCTGCCCCAGCACCTCTCAGCTGGACTCCTCCCAGAAGGTTTGATTTGGAGTTGTGAGTAAGCAGTGAAGTGGCTAAATCTGTGGATGACACAGAAGTTGTTCGGGGTGGTGAGAACCAGGGGGGATTGTGAGGCACTCCAAAGGGATCTGTCGAGGATGGGCGAGTGGGCGTCAACGTGGCAAGTGGGGTTCAATGTGGCCAAGTGCAAGGTGATGCACACTGGAGCCAAAGATCCTAACTATAAATACACGTTGATGGGGTCCGAACTGGCAGAGACTGACCAAGAGAGAGATCTTGGAGTCACAGTAGATAACTCAAAGTGACTGCAATAAAAAAGGCCAACGCTATGCCCTGGATTATTAGAAAGGGAATTGAAAACAAATCAGCCAGTATCATCGTGCCCCTGTATAAATCGATGGTGTGACCTCATTTGGAACACTGTGTACAGTTCTGGTCACCACACCTCAAAAAGGATATTATAGCATTGGAAAAAGTGCAGAAAAGGGCAACCAGAATGATCAAATCTATGAAGAAAGGTTAAAGCGCTTGGGGCTCTTTAGCTTGGAGAAGCGACAGATGAGGGGTGACATGATTGAGGTTTCTAAGATTATGCATGGGATAGAGGTAGTTTTCTCCCTTTCTCACAATACCAGAACTCGTGGGCACTCCTTGAAATTGAAATTGAAATTGCTGAGCAGTCGGGTTAGAACGTATAAAAGGAAGTCCTTCTTCACCCAAAGAGTGATTCACATGTGGAATTTACCGCCACAGGAGGTGGTGGCGGCTACAAGCATGGACGGCTTCAAGAGGGAATTAGATAAGCATATGGAGCAGAGGTCCCTCAGTGGCTATTAGCCACAAGGTATAGGTAGGGGGTCTGGGGCAAGTGATGCTCTGTCTTCTTGGTGCTTGGGGGGGGCAACAGTGGGAGGGCTTCTAGTGTCCTGGCCCCATTGGTGGTCCTCCTGATGGCACCTAGCATTTTTGGCCACTGTGCGACACAGAGTTGGACTGGATGCGCCATTGGCCTGACCCAACATTGGCTTCTCTTATGTTCTTATGTACGGTTCCCACTGGAATGGCATTCAGGCCAAGCCTGGTTTGGATGTTGGCTGCAAGACCAGCCTGCTGGATGCCCAGGGCTAATGTGGGTTCACCTTAGCCCCTCCTGGCATCTTAATTGCAGCTCTACAAAAACAGCTAAAGCTCCAGAGGAGTGCTCAAAAGCACCCCTTTCTCCAGCCCTCTTTCTGCTGGGCACGGAAACATTCTAACACATTCATCTTGGCAGGCAGCACTTTGGGTGGGGCCCCTTCATACCAGCCCTCTGCTTTCGGGGGGGGGGGCATAATGACCCATGCTGGAATCAGACAAGTTGTCTGAATTGTTCTCCACGGATGCAAAGAGTAGTTCTGTGTTTCACTGCAGGCCTTTCAAATGTAAGCAGGGGTGGCCTTGGGCAAAATGAGGGCTTGTGCGAGGAGTGAATACTTGGCACGACCCACTTGGCATGAGCTTGACTGTGGTCCAGAAGAGGAAATTAAAGCAAGCCCTGTGGCATTGTAAAGACTGACACTTATTCCAGCATGAGCTTTGTTAGTCAGCCTCTCCGGGATTAGGATTGGTCTCTATTGCAGGCCTTGGGTGGCGGGCCATTCCCCATCCCCCGCTCGCTCCCAGCCCAACAGCCTCAAACAGCTTCACACCAACCATCCGGGACCACCCTGCAAAGACCCAGACCCAGGAACCCAAACCCGGCCGCTGACCCAGACGCCAGCTCTGTCACCTGATGCACGTGCGAGAGGCTGCTACGGGGCCCAGGGGCATCAGCGACACCGTCCTGGCCTCATCCTCTGGCGCCTCATCCTCTTTGATATAGGCCAGCAGTGCCCCTCTGGTGCCTAAACTGGACAGAAATGTCCGTTCCTGCATGAGAGACTCACTCGAGGAACACAATTGACCCGGCCTCCAGAGTTTGAAAGCCAGGTCTTCCCATATAAAATAACGGCCCTTCAAAGTTGAAAGGGGGGATGTGCCATGGAACAAATGCAAACTGCCCTCCTTCCCTTCTCTCCCTCCCTCCCTCCCTCCCTCCTCATGCTGCCGCCTCTAGAGAAGGGAAGCATCTTTGATTTTTAAGGGCATGGTTTTGGGGTGCCAAAATTCCTGAGGCCAAAAACTGCCCGGAAATAATTACAATAACAATACTGACCCCCCCCCCAAATCAGCATACCCAAACCCATTCCCCCTTTTTAAAAAACCCCTGAAATGAAAACCCAGTTTTGTGAAGTTCACAGCCCCCCCTTGTCCATTGTACTTTCTAACCACAGAACAGAAGTCCTGTTCTAGAAAATTTGCTTGGCTCTTCTGAACATGATGTTATCATATTATAAGGCTTGACTGATGCTTAGTTTGGTGTAGTGGTTAAGTGCGCGGACTCTAATCTGGGAGAGCCGGGTTTGATTCCCCACTCCTCCACTTGCACTTGCTGATGTGACCTTGGGTCAGTCACAAGCTCTGGCACAGCTGTTCCTGAAAGAGCAGTTTGTGTCAGAGTTCTCTCAGCCCCACCCACCTCACAGGGTGTCTGTTGTGGGGAGGGGAAGGGAAAAGGAGTTTGTAAGCCACTCTGAGACTCCTTTGGGTAGTGAAGGACGGGTAGAAATCCAATCTCCTCCTCCTCCTCCTCCTCCTCTTCCTCTTCTGTGTAGTGGTTAAGTGCGTGGACTCTAATCTGGGAGAGCCGGGTTTGATTCCGCCACTCCTCCACTTGCACCTGCTGGATGACCTCGGGCAAGCCGTAGTTCTGATAAGAGCTGTTCTTGAAAAAGAGCCGTTTCTGTGGGAGCTCTCTCAGCCCCGCCTACCTCACAGGGTGTCTGTTGTGGGGAGGGGAAGGGAACGGAGTTCGTAAGCCGCTCTGAGACTCCTTTGGGTAGTGAAGGGCGGGGAATAAATCTAATCTCCTCTTCTTCTTATGCTTCATGTTGCTTCCTGGTCAGTTGCATTTATCCTACTTCATCCTCCCTTGTTCATTTGCACCCTATGAGACTCTTGGACCCCTCTCACCCTCCCTGACATGTGAACACCTTCATCCGTTCCAGTCCCAGAAACAGAGGGTCGCAGCTGGAAAATTTAGGGCAGGATTCACTCCGGGCCCTTCTCTGCCTGGACTCTTCTCCCTTTGGTAGTTTTTCTTTAAAAAATCTGCAAAATTACTTCCTTCCGTATAGCGCTGAAGAAGTGAGCTCTGACTCGCAAAAGCTCAGGCTGGAGTAAATGGTGCCGTGCCCCACTGGACTTCCGCTTTATTTTGCTGCAGTAGATGGTTGTGGCTGCCTCTCTGGAATTCTCATGGAGTGGAAACCCTGGGCAGGGCTGTTGCCCCAGACTGTGTTCCTACAGACATCGGGAGAGCAGAGCAGCCTTCATGTCCCTGCAGTCCCCCGTGCAGTTCAGGAAGGCCCAAATGTTGGGGCCTGGGGAAAGGACAGCCGAGACCTGCGCGGGCTTGCAGGGCAATGAAACCTTTGACGTGACAGACGGTCTTCTTGTTCTCAGGCACTGTTAGAGACAGCCCTGACCCGAGTGGTCCTACCGATGCCTATACTGGTTCTACCTCCAATCATCGTCTCTCTGCTGGAAAAGTAAGTGTTGCTGAGCGGTTGCAGTTTGGGGTGGGCAGCGGGGAGGGAGGGAGGGGCTCTCCGTGTGCCTGGCTGTCGTGTGGTCCTTGGCAGCAGCAAAATGTAGTCAGTTTATAAAACCCGCTTTGGTTTTTGTTTTGCTTTTTGCACAAGATCCCTCCTGTCACTTATTTTCAGCTGGGTGTGCTTTGACATCAAGCAGAGCAAAACTGAGCCTGGGATTGGGCAACATCAGAGGTCATTTCGGGCGGGGGGGACGCGGGAGAACGCAGTTCCCCCGGGTGAGGTGCAGGGGGCGGGGCACATGACGAAGCCCCGCCCCCTGCTTCCGGCCACCCCGCTTCCAGCCCTCATTCAGCCAGGAGAAGGCAGGAGAAGAGGGAGGGTAAGTTGCTTCCTCCCCGCCTCTCCCCACCCCTGCCTGCCTGGGGCCAGGGAGGGCCTTGGCGGGGCTTCCTCGCACTCCCGCCGGCCTTGTCAGGGGGTGTGGCATATGCTAATGAGTTATGCTAATGAGTTCCCCTAGCTCTTTTTCTACGAAATGACCCCTGGACAACATCCATCCATCCATCCATCCATCCTTCCTTTGTGACTATCTCAGCCAATTATTTCTGTGCCTCTGCTCTTGAAACTGATCAGCCCTCCTAATGCCTGTCTGTCTGTCAGCCAGATTTCTAACTGTCTCCGTCCACTGAGGTCAGGATGGTATATATGGTCCTGCTTTTCCTGATCCTATCCTCTCAGCAGCCCTGCGGGGGTAGGTTGAGATGGAAGGGAGTGACTGGACCAAGGCCACCCACTGGACTTCAGGGCTGGCTGAGGACTAGAACCCAGGTCCTGGACATTCTGACCTGCACAGCAACACGGGTTGTTCCGTTCTAATTCAGATAGATTTCTCAAGTACGCAAAAATCCCCACTGCTTCTTCTTCTTTTTTAAAGTTACTTGCTTATTAAAACATTTTTGCCCTTTTTTGCAATTTGTTGAATTTAGGGAGTGTCTAATGTTAACACCATGATGCGCCTCTAAAAGACCGTAAGGAGAGAAGGAGACCGACTCAATAAACATAGAGGGGAAGCTTGCAGTGAAAGGGAAGCGGGGGTGGGCTGCCGCGTGCAGTGCAGCAAGCGAAGGGACATGGGAACCTTCCCCCAGGGCTCCTCGGGAGAGCGCCACCTTTTCCTTGCAGCCCAAACAAACGTCATCATGGATGGAAGGAGGCGAGTCTCGGGAGGGAGGGGAGGGGAGGCCTTCGGTGGTCTCAGCCCAGAGTGAACTTGTCCCGCAAGAGCAGCCTTTGTCTCTTGCATAGATCAGGGTCTGGCAGTGCAAGCGGGCTCCTGGGGTGCTATTTTGGAACATGCCTCTGTGCTTCCCGTTATTTTCAGTAGGCAATGGACCCTGCAGTCATGGGGTGGCCTTTCATAGTCCTATTCAGGTGGGGCAGCCGTGTGGGTCAGAAGCAGCAGAACAAAGTTTGAGTCCAGACTGGGCACCTTGAAGACCAACAAAGTTTAATTCCGGGCAGAAGCTTTCCTGTGGTCTTCAGGGTGCCCCTGGGCTCACACAATATGTTCTATTTCAGGGGTGGCCAAACTTGCTTAACGTGACAGCCACACAGAATAAACGTCAGATGTTTGGGAGCCGCGAGAAATGAACAAATATTGCACACACGTTTTTATTGAGAAATATGCAAGTTTGATTTTTATTAACATTAAGTTAGACTGTGTGAAAGAGCCACATGCGGCTCCCGCGCTGCTGTTTGTCCACCCCTGTTCTGTTTCAGTTCTGCTTCACCTTTTCTGGCAAAGAAGTTCCCACGTGTGTCTGGGGCTGGGAAAGGGAGTCAGGAGAGACACAAGAGAGCCTTGCCTTGCATAGTCCACCAGTCATTGATGGAATCAGCTCCCAGGTGGGCGGGCAGGAGGGAGGGAGGGCGGCGGCTTCTGTAGCTTTCCAAGGGGCCTGTCCAGGGGTGACGCTGGATCATACTGCTTGAATGGACGTTTAGAGGCAAGGTGTCCCTGCATGCCAGTTGCGGTGGGGGGGGCAGCAGTCCAGGGCTTGCTTGGGGGCTTCCAGGAAGTCTCCATTTGGCCACGGTGGGTGCAGGAGGCTGGGCCGACAGACCTCTGCTCAGGGTCAGCAGAGTTCTCCGGATGTGCTGCAATTTGCTATTTGGCCAGCCGGCTGAGGAAAACTGCACGTTCTGTTTGAGGTACTGGCAGGCGAGGCAAGAGGCCCCTTGGTTCCAAAGTGTAAATAAATGGTGATTGCAAGTAGTTCCTTTTAATGTATAGCCTTCCAAAATGAATCCTCTTAATTAATGGACTGGCCGAAATTTGGAATGGGCGGAAGCGGCCATCCAAAACAAGGATGAGATCAGACTCCACCCTCGCGAGAGTCCCAGAGGTGGCAAGAGAAATGCACTCTGGACATGGCCCAAAGCTGCTTCCCCTTTTGAAGGGCTGGGCCCTGTCATGCGTTCAAGCCCCCATCCAGCTCTCTGAGCGGAAATGAAGCCCTGCAAAGCTCTGGACCCTGTGCCCGCGCACGGCACAGACGCCTGGCGGGCCAGGAGTGCCCAGGAGGTGGGGGCTCAGTGGCGCAGCATCCAGTCCAGAGGGCCAGGCAGGAGGTGATGGGAAGGGACCTCTTGGCCTGAGGAGACCCTGCAGAGACCCTGCCGGTCCGAGTAGGTAAGACTGACCTCGCTGGCTTCGTGTGTGTACGTAAGATTAAGGAGGGACTGCGTGGCTCACTGGCAGAGCATCTGCTTGGCCTGCAGAAGGTCCCAGGCTCAATTCCTGGCGGCATCTCTAGTTTGGTGTTGTGGTTAAGTGTGCAGACTGTAATCTGGGAGAATCAGGCTTGAGTCCCCACTCCTCCTCCACATGCAGCTGCTGGTGTGACCTTGGGTCAGTCACAAGTTCTCTTAAAGCTGTTATCTCAAGGGCAGTTCTTGAAAGAGCTCTCTCAGCCCCACCTACCTCACAGGGTGTCTGTTGTGGGGAGGGGGAGGGAAAGAAGTTTGTAAGCCACTCTGAGACTCCGAGTGAAGGGCAAGGTAGAAATCCAATCTCCTCCTCCTCCTCTTCTTCTTCTTCCTCTTCTCCCTCTCCCTCTCCCTCTTCTTCTTCTTCTTCTTCTTCTTCTTCCTCCTCCTCCTCCTCCTCCTCCTCCTCCTCCTCCAGGCAGTAGGTGCTTTGAAAGACCTCAGCCTGAGACTCTGGAGAGCAGTGTTCCCTCTAGGCTGAGTTAGTGTGAGCTAGCTCACAGCTTTTTAGCCTCCGGCTCACACATTTTTGTCTAGCTCAGGAAGGATGGGGCTGCAGAGCAGACTAATTTATGCAGCAGCCAGATCCCTCGCTCGTTTTGCCCATGAGACTCCACAGTTTGGAGGAAGCGTTGCTGGCAAGCCCTGCCAGTCTGAATAGACAGCACTGATTTTGGCGGACCAGGAAGGGGGGCGTCTGACTCAGTAGAAGGCAGCTTCCGGTGTCCCTGTGCCTGCAGGCTCCTGGCTCTTGTAATCTCCCAGCAGCCGTGGAGGTGATCTGCCTGGCGGCCAGTGGTGGAGTGGATCCACGCTCCGATCTGGGCCTCTGGCTTCTCTTGCCCCTCCGTCGCCTCTTTCCCTCGTCACGCTTCTGCTTCCCTGGCTGCTGTTCAGTTCGTCCGGTTGCCTTGGTGTTCCTGCCCCCCACATGGCATTTTAGTTCCGTGGGGGGGCGCGTTCCGTGTTCTCCCGGCACCCCAGGGCTGCCTCACGCGCCTGGGCTCCCAGGGCCCCTTTTTCCCCTGAGACCTCCTGCTGCGGGGGCCTTCTGGGGAAGCATCCAGCCCAGGGAAGCCGCTGCTATTTTGAGTGGATGTGGAAAATTTCCCAGCTGTCTGGCGATGGCGGGAGTCACGTGACTCCTATCCTCTAGCCCCGTCCACAACTTTTGTTTTATTTATCCAAACATTTATGAATCCCGCCTTTCCTTGTGGTTCAAGGCGGCTCACAGTAATAGTTGAGACATCCCCGGCTAAAGCCAAAGATGAAACAGCAAGCCCCAAAATCTCTCCCACTTCCTTCCCTTCCTTAAAAAAATACCTGCCATTCAACCCCTCTCCAAAACCATGGCGAAGAAGAGGAGGAGGAGGAGGAGGAGGAGACATCCCCGGCTAAAGCCAAAGATGAAACAGCAAGCCCCAAAATCTCTCCCACTTCCTTCCCTTCCTTAAAAAAATACCTGCCATTCAACCCCTCTCCAAAACCATGGCGAAGAAGAAGAAGATGAAGAA